ACCGTTGACACCAGTGGTGATATATCACTCTGGAGAACTAGAATTACGGAAGGCACCTCAAAAACCATCCGCACCTCCAAAAGGTAAGGCTCACTCACACAAAAGGAACCCCTTTCTCTCACTCACCAAAATTACAGTTTCAGCACGATCTCAGTCCGTGTCTTCCAATGATGATGCACCCTCCAAACGAAAACGTCGTCACTCTGACGCAAAATCACCCTCGGATTCCGAGGACGAAAACAAGGATCGACCTCGTCGTTCCCACAAAGAAGACGATGATCAATCAAACGCTTCCGAGGGGGGTAAAAAGCGGAGCAAGAAGCATTCATCAAAACGCAAGGACAAGGATCGCCATCGAAAGAAGCACAGATCAAGATCCAGGGATCAACGTCCTGAACCTACGACTGCAAAAGACCAAAAAGAACCTCGAGAAGAGACAGAAGAGGAATTAGACCTGCGATTAGAAAGAGAAGAAAAGGAACGGATACGTGAGGCAAAATTACGAGAATTGGAAGAACTTCGAAAGCGGCCACCTGTCACTAGCGCTAGTGGAATTAATTATAAAGGTATGAGCTTCGTCATGTGTGTTCATCTAGCCTTGGCGTCTAGCTCATATACACCCACTTAGGTCGCGGGAGAATGAAGTATAGAGATCCAGAGACGTCACTGAGGGGTTGGTGAATACTATTGTAGATCATTTCAACACATTATCGCATCATCTTGTGGGCATGGCGCTGAACCAATGTATTTTCTTTACGAGATAACTACTCTAATGCGCTAAAGGAATACTAGTCCGCAATAGAGATCAGAGGCTACATACGAAGGAAATGGTAATCAGTGAAACAACAACTCGCGAAGTAGATGATATTCCGAGTGATGAAATCAAAAAGAGATGAGAAAGATCGATAGAACAGCCGTGTGTGGGTGAAACTACAACAGACCTAACGAATATGAGAAAACGCAAAAGAGACAGCATTAAAGAATAGGAACGACCAGCTGTAAAAGAGATACAGACGAGTGGGATACTGTGAGCGGGGAATCTTTGCCACAATTTGACGGAGTATACGCCTCGGCAGTTTTGATTTGTTGGGGGACTCAAACCGCGATCCCAGCAACCTTCTTTTCCACTTCATCCACATCTTCACCGCCTCCCTCCTCAGGCTCATCCTCTTCGCCTTCAGCTACCTCAAGCCCTCCAGCTGCAGCTGCGAAACTAAAGCCTGACCTGAACTTTTTGGTCTCCCCTTGAGTTGACGCAGGACCAGCCGCAGGTTTTCCACCATCATGAGACGAAGTCCTTGAATGGGTAGTAGACGATGGCTTCGATGAAGTGGGTCCTTTACGGTCACGCCATGAGCTTCCAGTACCTCCCCATCCACCACGTTCCTGAGACTTGGGAGGTCCACCGCTGGGAGATCGGATAGACGTATCATTCGAAGTATCAGTTGATCTTGTGGACCGTTCAAGCCTTGCTTCAATTTCCTTCTCACGAGCACCGACATCTACGGGTTTCGCAGCTCCGAAGGGGTTGGAACGAGTAGAAGAGGATGTGAGAGTGGGTGTTTGAGATCCATTCGGGCTTCTCCAGTTGTCGCCTCCTGAAGGTGATTTGGGGGAAGAGATGGGGGAAGTTGCGTTAGATTGAGCTGAGCGTGGATGAATGTCTAGCTTCTTCCTAGATAGGCTAGGTGTGGAAGGTACAGAGCCAGATGCTGAAAAATTGACAGGAAAATCAGCACAGCTCTATTGTCTATTCATGGAATCAACGTACGTGAACGATCTTGACGACCTTGACCTGGAGGAACAGGACTTTTTCGGGGAGCGGATCTCCAATCCGATGGCTCTTCTTCCAATTTATTTTCACGTTTTCCAAAGAAACCACCCTTTTCACGAGGTTGATCAGTAGGTACAAACTTGGATCCTTTGGTCCAAGTGTCCTCAACCTCAGACGCATGTGGAGGTCCTTCGGGGGTAGAAAATCCAGATCCTCGCCTGGGACCTGAAGCAGGTCTCTCCGTAGGTGGAGGTGGAGGTCTCATCGGCCGGTTGCTTCTCCAATCTGAAGTGGTTTCGGCCTCGGAAGGAGGCGCGTCGTTAAACCTAGACGGTCCGCCCGTGCCACGAGGTGGTCGATCGGAAGGTCCACTGGGAACGAATTTCGATCCCATGCCCATTCGCTCCCCTCTATCGGCATTGTCCTCATAACGAGAAGGAGGTGGTCCGCTTCCTCGAGGTCCTCTGTCGAATCCTCTGTCATTGGAGGGTAGAGGTCCATCTCTTCTCCAAGCACCTGCGGTCTTGTCATCGTCAAAGCCGCCACCAGGGCCACTCCTCTCCTTGGCTGTAATTTCATGTGGTTTCAGTGGTAAATCAAAAGTTATCAGATGACATATCAGATGACATACGGGGTTCAGCGACGCTAACTCGGATAGTACGACCACTCAGTTGCTACGAAAAATTGAATGAGTGGGATTCAGGGTGGCAGGCTGCATAAACTTACACCGCCTGATTTAGCGAGAGCATCTTTGAGACCTTGAAGGTCACCAAACTCTACATAACCGAAACCTTTTGGTTTATCATCTCTATCACGAATGATTTTGACACTTTTCAACTTTAAAAGGGAAGCCAGGAAGACACGAAACGGTTAGCGACGGGGGTCGGGAAAAGGTCGGAATGAATAAAACGTACATAAGATCCAAAGAATTCTTCAATATCGGCTTCAGAAAGATCGAAGGATAAATTTCCAACAAATGCGGTGAAGGGTGGTGCGGTAGGAAGAGGGAGTTCCTCTCTGGGTGGATACCTGCTTTCCCTGTCTATAATGCGCTGTTAATGCCAATTGAGGTGGTGAAATACAGTGATATCTGACCAACCTCTGGGAGGATAATCATCGAACCGGTTGCCGAAGTCGCGCTCTCCACGGCGGGAACGATCCTCATCATTGCGAGGAGCAGCTAAGGGCCCAATTTGAGCCAGAAATCTTGGTGACTTGACAACCAAAGTTTACATACGTGCTGTAGGCAAACTATCCATCTCGTCTGCCCATGATCCGAGTGCTACAAGCGAGATCGATGAGTGGCTGAAATATGATTGCTGCGGTGACCGATCTTACTACTATCGCCTAGAAAGGCATTCAATGACATTTTCTGTTGTTTTTTGGGAGCTGAAAGGAAAAGAGTAATGCATTTCAGCGGTGATATCAGGAATGCAAGCGATCGAATGATTTCACCCATGATTTTAAGCTTTTTAGCAGTGAAAGACAATCGCTTTCGAAAATGGTAAGTTGTAGGTGATCTTTGGTTGGACACTAGAGGGGCCTCGCCAAAATTCCAATTTGGACAAACAGAACCAACTTGTGCCTCACCCAAAAGGTTTGACTCGTGACGACCCTTGCCATCGTACCTTGCGATCTGATCCCATAATGTGATGCTTGCTCTGCCTTTCATAGGAGAATACGGGCTCACCGTCGATTATGATAGAATCCCATAAATCTGTCCCACAAAGCGGAATCTTCGAGTAACTGCTTATAAGTATGGTCGTCCAAAGGAAAAATTACTCTGTTGCCGGTCTTTTCGTGAACATCTATTCAGATGACTCTACAGAGACTCGAGATCCAGGAGCTCCACTTTCTGTCGTTTTTCTACTTCACGGACGTTATTCACGTGCCCTCCATCCTAAGGTCGACTCCTTTGCCAAAGAACTCGTAGAGAAGGCCACTCCGTCACCAAGAGATCATCTCGTTGTTACTTTTGTAAGGCATAATTTATCCTGCCAAGTTTGTTCTTTGGCTGATATTATTGAAGGATCAACGAAATCATGGTACACGTCTCAAGGATGAGATGACCAACGTTGGCTGGTACGAAGATCAGGAGAAGCATAATCCGGCCCATGCGTACGTCGTAGCTCTCTCTCGGCCTGCATTGGCTGTTCTAATACAATAACATTAAGAGTCGACATGTATCATCTTCAAAGTGAGTATAATTGTTTCCTATAGCGAACAGACGTTGACTGGAGATTGGTAGCTGGTACCGCGAATGACGTTTCATATCTGATCGACTTTTTGCCGTCAAAGTTATACCCAAATGATGAACGTGAAATCCGTGACTGGGGTGTCATTGGTATCAGTCTTGGTGGACATGCTACTTGGATTGTGCTACAAAACGGCAAGTCACTGGGTTCTCCGCACAATACACAGCGAAATCTGATATTCATCTGTTTCAGAACCAAGAGTGACCCTTGGTGTTCCGATTATTGGTCAGCACTTTCCATTATCTATAGTTACATCAACTGACAGATTTCTTCAGGCTGCCCCGATTATATCAAGTTAATGAGCCAAAGAGCAAATTCAGCCTCCGTCTCATTTACTCCTCCAGCATTTCCGAATTCTCTTCGCCAATATGTCGAGAAGCACGACCCTGCATCGTCAAAATACACTGCAGAGGGTCCCGAGAATCCGTTCTGGGGCAAGAATATCTTGGTTCTCAGCGGTGCGGCCGATGACCTAGTCCCATGGACATGCTCAGTAGATTTCGTCAATGCACTCCAAGTTGGGCCAAATGGGGTCAAACAAGTTTTCGTGCAAGAAGGAGCAGGACATGTGGTGTCACAAGAGATGATGGACTACGCCGAGAAGTTCGTGCTCGATTGGTTGACACAGAGCGGGAACACAGAAGCATCGCGATGATCCACTTATTGTATCAATACAATTGAAGAACCTTGTGCCGAATACATGAACTTGTTCAACCTAAATTTTGTGCATACGATGATGCTTGCTGCGATAATTTCAATGGATGACATATGCTACATGAAGATCCCTTCAAAGTGGTTACAAACTTGGTTGCATTGTTTACATGATGAAATGGCTCTTTAACGATACTCCAACATCGAAAATTCCTAATTGGGTCGAGACAACTAAGTCCTACATGACCCTCCGAGGTTTAAGAGCAAAAAAAACTGGCAGACAACCGGGAACACACCCTCGCGTGAGAGGTAAAAAGGGATTCCCCCACACAGATTTGAACTATGGATCTCCTCATTACCTGTTAAGGTACTAGTGAGGCGCTTTACCGAGCTAAGCCATAGGGGAGCGATAGTTGTTGACCCACTAAACTTTATCAGCCGCAAACATCAACACTCAATGCGGAGCTCAATCTCCTCTGTGTAAAAAACTCTATAAGGGACTATCCTCACAACGAGGTATATATAAATGGGATTTGGATGAGGCAAAGGTGCCACCAAAGCCCTCCATTCATCATGACCGTCACTGAATTCGTTACCTTTCAGCTGAAGGAAGCTGGTGACCCAAGGAAAAATCAGCATTTCATGTCGCTTATCACCTCGCTGTCAAGTAGACAGCTCGCATGGTCAGGATTCCCGGTCGTTGTCTTGACCGATGCTGTTGAGGGCGAGGTTAGTTATTCGTCCCTCAGTTTTGTGGATTCCCTCTGACGGCTTCTCAAAGACAAGCGTCGCATCCAAACAAGCAATCATACACCTCGTATCCGGATGGACAAGTATTGAGGCCCATCAAGAGTGGATGACCAGCGAGAAAAATCACGACCTCCTTCTAGGCCTGGGTCCACTCGTGGATATGAAGCAACTTGTCCATTTGGATTCGGGTTTTGATTCGATCAAGAATTTCCTCGAACAAGCTCAGGATAGGACTGTGATGATCAGAGGGACAGATGCGCCATCAACAGAGGCAGTGGGAGGGTGGACGCTTGACGGTGATAAAAAGGCGTTTATAAAATTCGACATCGCAGACAAGCAGGAGGGACCAGAGGACTACGCAGTACGGCTACATATCGGAGAATGAAATTGACGAAGGGTGTCTATTTGTAGCAACTTGCCCAAACAACGACGCAAGCGCTGACGTGTGTGTTTCGCGCAGCTTAGGGACCAAGGACAGGTTTATATTTACTAGTTTTGTATCGAAAAAAGTTTTCAGACATATATTGCTATGAGCATTACTGAATTTGCTGCACTACAACTGAAGGAGCCTGGTGACCCGAGAACCAAGCAGGAGGTGATATCGCTCCTCCGCACGGGATCCACTCACCAGGCAGCCTGGTCGGGGTATCCCGTCCTGCTCCTAACGGATTATATTTCTGGAGAAGTGAGCTCCAAATCACTGTGAACGAGAACATTGCTGATCACGATCCCTCAGGCAGACTCAAAAACTCGAAATGCAACAATATACCTCATTGCTGGGTGGTCCAGCGTTGAAGACCACCACAAATGGATAGCAAGCCCAAAAAACGAAGAAGTGATGCAAAAGCTCGGGCCACTCGTAGAAGTGACGCAGTTTTTCCACTTAGACTGTGATTTCGATGCAATCAAGCATTTTCTTGAGGGTGCCAGAGGTGATATGGTGGCTTTCACCAAAATAGATACCCCGTCGGAACAGGCTCTGGGAGGGTGGACGCTTGATAGAGACGAAAAAGTATTCGTTCAGATGGAGAGGGCAGACAAACGAGATGGGCTATCAGAATATGCTGTGGATCTTGGCCTCGAAGCAGAAAGTTGATGACAGGACGATCGCTAATTTCTAAATCAAGGGTTGATACTTGTGATTCTCTTCTTCATTTGTCATTTGCAGTAGATAACTCGAATGCACGAGGATTCTGCCATATGTAACGGAGCTATCCTTCGTTGCGATGTTATAGCGAGCAGCTTCGAACTATGTTAGA